CCTCCCCAAAATGCAGCTGATAAAGACCCTGTTACATCTTTGCCATTCTGACGGGCCAAAGGGCTAGAACTCAGATGGCTGCTAGATCAGAAAAGTAAAGTGTTTTAGTCTTTTTATCCAAATAACTTGTACTAGGCTCACTGTAATATGTTTACTTTTATTTAAGCTACTCGTTTGACAACGTGCGTGAAGCCATTTTGTGACTTGTTCTGCTTTTATTTTTGTTTCTTTCCCCCGCCCAGGCGTCAGGAAATTCAAGCTGAGCTCAATGATGACGAGGTGCCCCTGTCTCTGACGGCTTTCCCTCTGTGAGTTTTCTCCCATCTACTTGTGTATGTGGGTGGTTGGCGGGTGCTCTGGTGTGGTTTGCTTCTTCTTTCCTATGAATCATCTATCGTCCTTATCTCCCCTTTTTTAAATTTTATGTTTGTTACTGTCTTGTAACATCTTTAATCTTCTGGCGCTCATATGACCTTATGCAGTTGCGAGTGCCGTAAAACCTCTACTAAAACTAAACTACTTGTGTATAGGGTAAGACATGATACACCTTTATTGTCCAGATCCTGGCACATTGGTGCTTCTCCAAATCTGGGTTAGCCCACTTGTCCTTAAAAGCGACCAAGTAAACAAACATTTTTTCTTTTTTTTGAATTAATCTGTTTTAGAGTTGCAATTTTAGTTTTGTATTTGGTTTTCATTAGTTCCATGCTGTTGTCATTGCTTATGTTTTTTTGTCTTTTTAATTTTGTCTTAAGCATTTCGTTAAGGATTTGAACAAACATAAAAAGTGCATTTTTAAAAGGTATACTAAATTTGTTTTAAACACCAGAAGTTAGGTAAACTCAAATTGTTAAAAACTTGGAAAATAAATTTGGAAATGTAAAGTCAAACTATTGCAGACACTAAAAGTTAAAAGTGTATTTTTGAATTGTAAATTCAAATTGGTTTCAAACACAGAAAGTACATTTTCGACAGGTAAACCTTAATTTGTTCCCAGGCTGGGTGTGCGTGAGTTCACTTGGCCCACTGCCAAGACGGACCCAGTGGATGGAGTGTCAAGGTCGTTGTTCTTCCCAGACGATGCCATCAACCAAGGTCACCCAAGATTTAAGTAGGTGGCTTTGATTTGGTCAAAAGAAGATGGCTCCAGTTGAGGTCTTTCTCGCTGGGTGCACTAACCCACGAATCAGGAGTATTTTTCTGTTGTGTAACATATATTATGTTCTCAACTCAGAAACACACCCACTCATACACACGCGCCATTTACACAAACGACAAATGTGCACACATAAACACTAGTGAGTACACACGCCCCCACCACACAAAACACACGTACACACACAAGCCCAGAAAGTAGCTTACTGTGAACTGTGTCTCAAATATGTTCAGTCATAATGACTTGCTATAAACTACACCTAAAATATTTCCTCAAATATGTTCAGTCATAATGACTTGCTATAAACTACACCTCAAATAATTTCAGTCACAATGACTTGTTATAAACTACACCTAAAATATTTCCTCAAATATGTTCAGTCATAATGACTTGCTGTAAACTACACCGCAAATCTTTCCTCAAATATGTTCAGTCATAATGACTTGCTATAAACTACACCTCAAATATGTTCAGTCACAATGACTTGTTATAAACTACACCTAAAATATTTCCTCAAATATGTTCAGTCATAATGACTTGCTATAAACTACACCTCAAATATGTTCAGTCACAATGACTTGTTATAAACTACACCTCAAATATTTCCTCAAATATGTTCAGTCATAATGACTTGCTATAAACTACACCTCAAATATTTCCTCAAATATGTTCAGTCATAATGACTTGCTATAAACTACACCTAAAATATTTCCTCAGATATGTTCAGTCATAATGACTTGCTGTAAACTACACCGCAAATCTTTCCTCAAATATGTTCAGTCATAATGACTTGCTATAAACTACACCTCAAATATGTTCAGTCACAATGACTTGTTATAAACTACACCTAAAATATTTCCTCAAATATGTTCAGTCATAATGACTTGCTATAAACTACACCTCAAATATTTCCTCAAATATGTCCAGTCATAATGACTTGCTGCAAACTACACCTCAAATATTTCCTCAAATATGTTCAGTCCTAATGACTTGCTAGAAACTGCACCTCAAATATTTCCAGTCATAATGACTTGTAATAAACTACTCCTCAAATATTTCCAGTCATAATGACTTGGTGTAAACTATACCTCAAATGTCCAGACTTGCTGTAAATCGCACCTCAAAAGTATCTGCTTCTATGTGTCCTCTTTTGCTGACTTGCTCTAAACTGCGAATGAGATGTATTCTATCATGCTGGCAAACTAACCTACATAAAACTGAACAATATAATTTTAAAAAAATTATAATTGAGAAAGCTACTGCTTTTTACGGAGTGGGTGGTTGGAGGGTGACACTGATAGGTTCACTTCTTAACTCTTGAAACCCTGGGTTTTTTCCACCGTTATCTAGAGTTTTTTCTTTGTCACCTAAACCTGGTGCACTATGTCTCATTATAACCCCAAAAGCGTGCCTCCAACTTCTAAATAGCGAAAACAAAGGCTTAGCCATTACTAACAAATTTGGATAGGGAATAGCTCTGAAAAATAAGAAACTAGCACTAAATAAAACGAAACAGTTGTCACTAGTACTGGACGCTCCCAGCGTCCGATGGGGAACAGGGCTATTTCTGCCGGACGCTATCAGCGTCCAGTGGGGTTTACAGAGTTAGCTTTTTTTCTGTTTCTTTTTCTCCAACAATCTGCCCTGGCACAGTGCATTGGGCTGTGGACCTGGTCTGCTAGGCAGGAGCTTGAAATTTGAATTTTAATGGAGTCTGAAATATTTTTCTGGTCCTTCACAGCTCAGTGCTATTTAAGGAACCAGGTGTTTTGCCTTCAAAATTATTTATAATGTGTCTAGTGGGGTGTTGGGCTTCAGCTTTAAATTGTTTTTTTTCTCTCTCAGCAGCTAATGATAACCTTTAGGATGGGGCCAGCCGAGGTGTCTGCTTAAAAAAGAGTAGAGCATTGTAAAAAGTCCTCCCATACTGGACAGTGCTTCCACTCTTTCGTATTTTTACGGAAATCCGTACTTTCTGCCAGTTCCGTACTTGTTCCTCCTTCATCGTCAACTCCCTCCGTAAAAAAAAACTGCGACAGCGCAGGACTGCCGAAATTCCGTACTCGCCTTCCTATCGTCTTGTAGTTACGGATATTTACGGTAATTCTCTCGTCAACAAGTTAAAGTTATTGAAACCTGCCAGATTGCGCTTTTCCTGCAATCGGCCATTATTGCGCTATGTCCCTTGAATTCATTGCGGGTTGGTCGGCAGTACATTTTCTACCTGCAGATGGATCAAAATCTGGCGAACCTTTTGTGCCAATTTCCTCCTTTCTATCATTCACTACTAATTCCTTCTGCCTATCTTCGGATTGTTGCCGCGGCTGGAAATCTGCGCGTTGATCAAGTAAATTGACTTGTGATCTTAGACTTAGACAAAAAACTTACTGTCAGAAAGAAACTTTTTTTTGCAAATTTGTCTAGATCTAAATCTAGAGAAATTATCAATGCGAAGATTCTACGGCACGTGAACGCAATAAGGGCCGCGATGAAAGAAATAATAATATGCTGATACGCGGATGCCCACTACACGAGACTACGGGTGGGATCGGCCGACCGCGCTGATCGCCCGACTCGGTCGCCTAAAAAACAAACGTGTTTGTTTTCAGTTTCAGGCGATCGAGTCGGGCGATCGGCCCGATCCGGCCGTGGGTAAAATAAAAAATAATTCGAGTGGTGTTCTGAGGTTGTGACAGGCGACATTCAGACGTGAAAATTTAGAAAAAATTTGAGTGTATGCTGCGCAACTGTATTGTGAAGGTACATCTATTCATTATTCCCATGTTTGCCTGCTATCAATGGTGCGACGTCAAATTTATTGAATTATAGTAGCAATGAAAGGGGAACCTGCTTTTAAACATTGCCAGCAATGGAAAGATATGTTGGTGAAGAAATCAAACAAGACAAAATGTTGGTGAAAAAATAAATGTTATGGGCTCTAGGCAATCTCTTCAAACAGGCTCCCAAATGCCATTTTCAACCCTCTAAAAGCACTAAGTTTCAATTTCTTCGGGGGCGAAACTTCGCCCCCTGAACCCCCACCCGGGATGCTGTCCCTGGACCCTGCTGGGGGCCTCTGTGGCCCCCAGACCCCCGGCACAATTTTCCTTACTTTTCAGCTTCAGCTGGTGGAATCACTGACGGGAGGAAATCAACTAATCAGCCATTCTGAGATCTTCGCTTTTCCTTCCTGATCACTGCTAACCTTGTCATCAACATCCTCTTTTATTTGTGACAGCAAACATTGTTTTATTTTTTGTGTGTCCTTGATTCATAATACAGACTTCAACATAAGTTAAGGACCACTTGCAAACACTCTGAGTGGTCTCTTTGGGTCGACCTGCCTCTGAGTGTTCTTGGGCTGATCCAGTGGCTTGATGGCGCTGCCTCAGGCGGACAATGACAGAGTGTGATACTGCAAGCCTTCTAGCAACTTCTCGGGCTCCAACTCCATCCTGCAGCCATGCCATAGCTCTGGCACAATCAAAGTCTCTCTGCTTTCGTCTTGGTGGCATGTTGATGATGCGATGCTGGGTTTTGCGCAAATGGCGGCTTAAATTGCCACCTGAGTGAGCACAGTTTGAGACCGTAAGTCTGTTTATGACGTGCACCTGAAATATTAACTGATGAATGTTCGCGGTGTCGCTCTCAAGTCGATAAAAAACAGAGAATGTGGCTAAAATTCCCTGAGGATTTCCGTGATGCTCGTGTTGGTTTTGCCCCTGTAGGAAACTTTGCAGTACGCAATGGTAACCCTTAATACTTTCAGAGCAAAGCATTTTGAAACATTTCCTTGTTCTCCTTTTTTTGGATTAAAAAAAAATCAGGGCTGTCTGTCAAGGTGGTCCTTAACTTATATTGAAGTCTGTTTGAGAAAGCAATTTTTCATTGATACTTGTTCTGATTTTGTGGTGTGCATTTGTTCTATTTATAACCAACATTAGGCACCTTTAAAAGAAAAAGGCACAAGTTAAAAAAAGAACTCTCGAAACATTACAAAGCTGACATCACACTAACTAAGGAAGGGAATGAAGGTTAATGAGTTGGTGGATTCCCTCTTGTTCCTGTCTGTCTATCCGTCTTACTTTTTCCCAGCACTAAATGACCATTATTGTGTCCATGTGCATCTCTTTACTCAAACAAACATGAAGGTCAGTGACCTGGGCAGGTTTTTGGTGCTCTGCTCACTTATTTGCATTTGTTCTGTGGTGTTCAGCATTTGTGGCACCCGTAAGTGTAGTTTGTTTGAAGGTGATTTGTTGCTTGCAGGAGATTTTTGTGATTTGTTGTTTGGTGTTCAGCATTTGTGGCACCGGTAAGTGTAGTTTGTTTGAAGGTGATTTGTTGCTTGCAGGAGATTTTTGTGATTTGTTGTTTGCAGTTATTAACGCTTTTTTTTTTCTACTTTGCTTCCTGCTTCTTAACAGAACTCTGACAAGAAACATCCGCACGAGACGCAAAGAAAAAGTGGCCATTAATATACCTAGTAAGTGATCAGAAAGTTTGTTAGTAGTTTTTTTTTCTTCATGTTTGAATACATTGAGTGGATTTGATTTTTTTTGTTGTTGTGCAAAGCAAATGTGAGCGGCACAACTGGTAGTTTCTCTTCTTCTTTTTCTCTCTCTAAGATTTATATTTGACTGCTTTGAGCGTTCTCAATTCTTTATGACTATTATTGTGTCGATCTCCTTTCTAGTCCAACAATTACACTAGAACCAAGCATGTCTAGTAATGAGGCTACGGGACTCGTAATCATCAGGATACGGGTTCGGGGGTTCAAGCCTCAGCTCGGCCCAACGTTGTGTCCTTGGGAAAGGCGCTTTATACGAATTTCCCATTTGGCTTGGTCTTTTCGGAGATGGACGTTAAACTCGGAAGTCCTGCCTCTTGAATAACCCAATAGTGTTACTAGGGGCGTCAGACCTATACTACCATTATACCATTTTTTTCCTGTCGTCCTTGCTTTTTTACCTGCATTTAATTACTGCTGTTGTGTTAGTGTACTTAAATTCTGTTTACTTAAAGACATCTCACTGTTGGACAATCTGTAACATGGGTGATTAGCAGGTGCCCAGGTATGGTTTGCCCCCTCTTTCCTGTCAAACACCTACAGTCCTTATCCCTCCCCTTTTTCTTTTGCAGATCATCGTCTAGTAACACCTCTTGTCTTCGGCTCTTATATGATCTATTTGTATTGCTCATGCTGTAAAACTTTTATTAATCCTAAGCGTAAAAGTAATTATTGTTTTGATGTCTTTCTCTTTTACTTTAAAATATCTCACTTTCTTGTGGATGGTTTGCGGTCGCTCTGGTGTAGTTTGCTCCTTCTTTCCTATCAAATATGTACTGTCCTGATCTGTTCTCCTTTTTTCTGTTTGTTGCTCTCTTATAAATGTCTCTAATCTATGGCACTTGTATGACCTTTTTGCGTTTGCAAGTGAAGTAAAACTCTTACTAAAGTAAAACTGATCTCCCCTCCTTTTTTCTGTTTGTTGCTCTCGTATAACGCCTCTAATCTTTGGCACTTGTATGTCCTTTTTGCCTTTGCAAGTGCTGTCGTAAAGCTCTTGCTAAAGCAAAACCAAAACTCGCTTTCTTTTTTTCCCCCCTGAGCAGTTTTTCAAGATGTGCACACCAAGCGGCCGTTCAAGGAGGATCTTGCCGCCCTGGGGGATGACGGGGAAGCGGCCCGAGCCGCCCAACCTGACCACATCTACATGGACTGCATGGGCTTCGGCATGGGCAACTGCTGCCTGCAGGTCACCTTCCAGGCGTGTAACATTGAGGAGGCCCGGTACCTGTACGACCAGCTGGCCGGCATGTGTCCGATCATGGTGAGTGGGAGCAGGACGACGACGGGACGTGTGCTTTGTGTGATATGTAAGGCAGCGTGGAGGGGAAATCCGGCGCTGATCAGAATAATGGAATCAAGGAATCCCACATTTTTCTGGCCGTTGGACAATTTTTAAAAATGTCTTTTTTATTTTTTCTTTGGTTTAGTAACTTCTATGTCCATTTAAGAAGATATTTCTATGTGGAATATTCTGAAAAATGTTGATCAAAGGCTCAAGAAAATGTAAATTTGCAGTTTTCGAGAACAATCACGCTTTGGAAGTCACCAAACTTTGGTGGCCATTTTCTCACTAATTTTGCCTCTGACACAGGGGGCCTCACCTCCTTCAATTACAAACATCTCGACTTCTATTCAAGATACGCGTGTAATTTTTAAATCTCTACTTCTTTTGTATGTTTGTCACTCTTATGAACTGCTATTTCCGGGGTGCCTTGAAAGTCGAAGCTCACTTTTTGCTGTTGAAGCTAGAGAGGTGAGCAGAGTAAGCTCGATTCCCTGCAAGGATTTCTCTGTTGACATCAACCCCTTGGCGCTCATATGACCTTATGCAGTTTCGAGCGCTGTAAAGCCTCTACTAAAAAACCCCCCAAAATAATGTCATCAGATGACAAAAAGACATTTCTTTTACAATCTATGATACCTAAAACAGTGGGTTAAAGGGCATTTGAATCTTTTTGTTTCGTTATTACTCCTTTCATCTCCCTTCCCCTGTTCTTGTCTTGCAGCTGGCCTTGAGCGCGAGCTCTCCAATCTACCGAGGCTACCTGTCAGACATTGACACTCGGTGGCCAGTAATTGCTCAGTCGGTGGACGACAGAACTCGAGAGGAGCGAGGACTTGAGGTGAGAAATAATTATGTACTTGGTATTTTGTGTAGGATTATATTTGGGCTGTATGGTTGTAAATGTTGGACGTCCTCTGATTTAGATAATTGGAGGTGAGACTCTTGAAGTCTGTGGCGTAGCTGATTAGCCACTTCCCCGTCACGAACAGAAGATCTGGGCTCGATTCCCACGTAGGTAGATTTTTATCGAGTTCAGTCTTTCTACTGTGTCCCTCTCAGCCTGATTGGCCTAGCGGTTAGGCTACGGGACTCGTAATCATCAGATATCGGGTTCGGGGGTTCAAGCCTCAGCTCGGCCCAACGTTGTGTCCTTGGGAAAGGCGCTTTATACGAATTTCCCATTTGGCTTGGTCTTTTCGGAGATGGACGTTAAACTCGGAAGTCCTGCCTCTTGAATAACCCAATAGTGTTACTAGGGGCGTTAACCCGTACCATTTCACCATGTTCCCCTCTTAGCCTGGTTGGGCCCTGACGCGCAGGATCGAAGCCTACGTCGTAACTGATTCAAATTGTGTCGATGGGAGTGTAAAATACCGAAAACAATGTTATTTACCTCACTGTGTTCAGGTAAAAAGTCC